AAAAAAAAAATAATTTCGTGTATATTCGTAAATTTAAAAAAAAAAAAAAAAAAAAAAAAAACGCAAAAATTTTCTCACAATGAAAAATAAAAATCGACGTTTGAACAGCACACGAGCGACCAGCGGCCACGGTGTGAAAGAGAGAATATTTAGGTGACCACAGAACGTGCTAAGGATAAATGAAACCCAGGGACTAATTGGTTTGGACCAGGGAGAAGATTATCGATCGCGATCACCTCGCACGGCCAAAATAGTTCCCACAGTGAAATAGTTGGCACAGTGTTGTAGAACTGGCGGACTTTATTAATCGGGTTTCTTTGCAAGAGCCAGGGATCATTTTTAAATCTAGAAAACCTGAAGCCGCTTGGTAAGACAGAGGTGTCCTTGGTCGCCATTTGACTGGACCGAATCTCAGTTATGTTTAGAGGATTTTTTTTTTTTTTTTCAAATTTGCAATGGAACCCCCGCTATAACATGATAAGTAAAGTCCATAAAATCGGACCGTTTTAAAAGAGGGGGGGGGGGAGTAGTACGATATTCCTTGATAATAATTAATAATAGCTTTGTTGTTAGTTTTTTTTAAAGGAGTATGGTGATTTTTTAAAATAAAAATGTTGAAGATTGTTTTTAAACACCCCTTGTGGTGTGTGAGGTAATGTGGTGTTGTAGTTGGGCCAGCCTTGTTGTAGTTGTGATATTGTTGTAAGGCACAGACATCTTTGAAGCTCATAATTACATATCATTTTAAGTTTAAGAAAAAAAAAATATTCATGAGTAAATGATGGATATACAATAATATTGTGTCCATTGCTACAAACACTTTATAGGAGAATTTATGTTACAGAAGGGTACAACTCTATAATAAGAACTAAATGTGCATTGATAAATCATTCCAAAGCATTATTGTTGTTTTTTGTAAGATGTTTTATGAGGAAACACATACTAACAAATTTTTTTTAAATAATTCAAAATACAAATTCTATGACTTGAAGTAGAATGTTTTATTTGTACTTTGTCAATCTTTTGTAAGGGTACTGTAAGCATATAAAAATATGACAAAAGTCAAATAATAAAAAAAATTCAACATTATGATAATATAGAGAATAATTTCATAATTTTTTTGTTTGTCTTGAAAAATAATTTATGCAGGATAAGAACAATTTATCACATTGTAATCACGAATGTGATCAGACATACATTGGACAATTCAACGGCTGGTTGTATCACTAATGCGATCAGACATTGAACCACTTAACAACTGACTGTATGACTTATGTGATCAGACATTGGACCACTCCACAACTGATTGTATCACATATGTGATCAGACATTGGACCACTCCACAACTGATTGTATCACATATATGATCAGACATTGGACAATTCCACAACTGATTGTATTGGACAACTCCACAACTGATTGTATTGGACCACTCCACAACTGATTATCACTTATGTGATCAGACATTGGACCACTCCACAACTGATTGTATCACATATATGATCAGACATTGGACAACTCCACAACTGATTGTATTGGACAACTCCACAACTGATTGTATTGGACCACTCCACAACTGATTATCACTTATGTGATCAGACATTGGACCACTCCACAACTGATTGTATCACTTATGTGATCAGACATTGGACCACTCCACAAATGACTGTATGACTTATGTGATCAGACATTGGACCACTCCACAACTGATTATCACTTATGTGATCAGACATTGGACCACTCCACAACTGATTGTATCACTTATGTGATCAGACATTGGACCAGTCCACAAATGACTGTATGACTTATGTGATCAGACATTGGACCACTCCACAACTGATTGTATCACTTATGTGATCAGACATTGGACCACTCCACAAATGACTGTAACAATACCTTGCTATCATCACCCCCCCCCCCCCCCCACCTGGTCTTCCAAACCATTTTGATTTATACATAATCCTTGAGAAGAAGTCAATGAAACCCAAGCTTGCTTGTGCACCCTGTGACACATGTTACTGCTTATGCCATGATGAATTTGTCATTCAGAGAGAAACTTGGGATGTACATTTCATCATCAAATCCAGACAATCATTATTTGGAACAACACC